GAGGACATGGGACCTCTCCAACCAGGCATGCCTAGTCCAGCCATGCTCCCCCTAGATTGGAAATTAGCTGTATTAGATATAAAGGACTGTTTCTTCCAAATTCCATTGCACCCTGAAGATGCCCCGAGGTTTGCATTCTTGGTTCCCACCATCAGTCAGGAAGCCCCAATGAAATGCTATCACTGGAAAGTTTTGCCCCAAGGTCTAAAATCCAGTCCTTTCATATGCCAACAGTATGTAGCAGCACTACTGTCCCTGGTACGTGCAGAGAGAAAGGATGCTGTCATCCTTCACTACATGGATGATGTGCTTGTGTGTGCTCCCAATGACTCTATACTCCAATACACTCTTGACCTAGTGGTTGAAGTTTTAACCACTGTTGGATTTCAATTGCAGAAAAACAAAGTTCAAAGAATGCCACCTTGGAGATACCTGGGCCTGGAAATCTCTGCAAGGACCATTGTCCCTCAGAAATTGGAGATCAATTGCAACCCCAAAACACTAGCAGACCTCCACTTGCTGTGTGGGTCTTTAAATTAGGTAAGACCTTGGCTAGGCCTCACAAATGAGGACCTAGAACCTCTCTTCAATTTATTGAAGCGGGAGAGGGAGCTGGCCTCCCCCAGGGAACTGACCCCAGAGGCAAAGACAGCAATCGAAAAGGCACAGAAGGCCTTGTCAGAAAGGCAGGCACATCAGTGTGACCCAAACGTGCCTTTCCAGTTCATTGTTCTAGGAAAGCTGCCACACCTGCATGAGTTGATTTTCCAATGGATCGAGGGGCAGAAGGATCCACTCTTAATTGTAGAATGGGTTTTCCTATCGCTCCAAAGATCCAAAACCATCACTAGGCCACAAGAGCTGATAGCAAAGCTGATTCAGAAGGCCAGGGTGAGGTTGTATGAATTAGCAGGGGGTGACTTTGCATGTATTCACCTTCCAGTCAGGCTTTCTGAGGAGGGAAGGAACTCTCCTGAGAGATTGACCAAAGGGATGTTTGAGCATTTGCTCCAGAGCAGTGCCAGTCTCCAGCTATCTCTGGACAGCTACAGGGGACAAATATCAGTCCATGCCCTGTCTCACAAGTTGTTCAATGAGGAATTCCACCTTATTCCTCAAGAGAAAAGGAGCCGGAGGGCACTCAAGGCTCTCACAGTGTTCACGGATGCCTCTGGGGCTTCCCACAAGTCGATGATGACATGGAGAAATCCACAGACTCAGCATTGGGAAGCTGATGTTGAGCTTGTGGAGGGATCCCCCCAGGTGGCTGAACTGGCTGCAGTGGTGAGAGCTTTTGAGAAGTTTTCTGAGCCAATCAGCTTGGTGACAGACTCTGCCTATGTAGCAGGAGTAGTGTCCAGGGCGGAGCAGCCCGTGCTCAAAGAAATAGAAAATGAACATCTCTTCAGGTTGCTCTCAAGGCTGATTTATTTAATCTCTCACTGAGAGCATCCATTCTTTGTGATGCATGTGAGGTCACACACTGAGTTGCCAGGTGAGATTGCAGAGG